TTAGTTTAATTCAGTGTTGTTTTTTCTTCTGAACTAAACTACGAATAGGCCTACTTATATAGGCTTTGTTTCGGTATTTCAGAAATACCTATTTTTAAGTTTAACCAAACTAGCCCATAATCTCTTTTGTCTTTTTAGAAAGATTTGAGGAATGAATCACTGTTGCTGGCTTCAAAAGAACAGAAGATAGCGGATGAGAATGTCTTAAGGCTTGTTGAAGAGCAGAAGGTTTGTCTTCTATTTAATATTTAGTGTCTTGGTTATGAAAAGCTTGTTATTTATCACTTATATTCTTACTTATATTCTTATACATGGAAATGTGTGTTATTGTTGTGGATTTCAAAATTCCCAGAGAGAGAAAGAGGAGGCCTATAACAAGATTCTTCAACTGGAAAAACAGCTTGATGCCAAACAGAAATTGGAAATGGAAATTGAAGAGCTAAAAGGGAAATTGCAAGTAATGAAGCATCTTGGAGATGAAGATGATACAGCTGTTCAGAATAAGATAAAAGAAATGAATGATGAATTGCAAGAAAAAGTAGATAATTTGGAAAATTTGGAGGCTATGAATCAAACCCTTGTTGTGAAGGAGCGCCAGAGTAATGATGAACTACAAGAAGCTCGCAAAGAACTAATAAAAGTATGATCTCATTTATTTTCTCTCTGATAAAAGTCTCCCTCCCCTTTTATCAACCTATATATGGAGTTTTACTGATTTACACAACTTATTTTTTAGGAGTATTTTTCACGACACACACACTTAGTTCCTGCACTTTAACATTTCTCTTAATTGATTCTTGATTATAACCACCGTAACAAGTAATTGTTCTTGTTCCTGCGTCTCATCGTGCTAAGCTGTGAGCATGTTTGCGAGAAGATTCTGTTCTCCTTTTGTTGGAAATAGTAATATTGATATTCTATTTATGGATCTTGAGTGGATTGTGACTCACTGTTTTTTCCCCTTCTAATGTTTTAGGGGTTAGAGGATATGCTGAATGGCCCTAGAATTACTATTGGGCTCAAGAGAATGGGAGAGCTTGATCAGAAGGTTTTTGTGACTAATTGCAAGAAAATATTTTCTCCGGAAGAAGCTGGGACCAAAGGTGTCGAGCTTTGTTCTTTGTGGCAGGAAAATGTGAAGAATTCAGCTTGGCATCCATTTAAAGTGATCACAGTCAACGATAAAGCAGAGGTATGCACCACCTTGACATGCTTTGTGCTCATAATGGAATTCTGTCTCAATTGGTTAGCTCCAAATTTTCTGTTCCCACATTTAAGAAATTTGCGCTATATTCTTCCTCGTTCTAAGAAAATGGTTTAAATTGTTCGTAATTTATTCATTGTATAATTGATTAAGTTTTGGACTTGACTTGGCATATGTTAAAAAGTCCTGTTATACACTTTTTGCTCCTGGTCTATCTTGTATCATTATACAGAAGAGTAGTATATAATACTGAACACATATAACGTGGTTGCATTTGTGCAGAATATTATAGATGAGGATGATGACCAGTTAAGAAGCCTCAAGCAGGAATGGGGAGATGAGATATATTTAGCTGTTGTTACAGCCTTAAAAGAAATATATGAGTACAATCCAAGCGGTGGGTATACTGTTGTGGAGCTATGGAACTTCAAGGAAAAAAGAAAGGCTACATTGAAAGAAGTTATCTCTTATATTTTGGATCATATCAAGCCGCTTAAGCGCAAGAGAGGATAGTCAAAAAGGTTAATGTTTCAGACTTTCAGTTGAAGTTTGCTGAACATTTTGTGTGGCTGATTAATGAATACGCATATTATGACCTTAGAGAATAAATAATTTGTTTGTGAATGAACTATGAAGTGATTGATTGACATAAATGAGTTACGTTTTTTATATTCAATCACTGCATCAATAGGTTTTTGCTTTTCTAGAAGTTGGCTATTTTGAAACATCACTTTTATTGTGACTAATTTTAGAACTAGAAAATGAAAGTGATGAATGGTAGAATTAAATATACCAGTTTTCTAAAAATCACATAGAAGAAATACTGGTATGTGCATGTTTCAGTTTAGTTGATATATCTATTAAAATTTGAATGAATGTTGTACCTTGAGTCTTTGCAGGGAGTACAAATGGCAGATATATCAACGGGTAGATGGAATGTTGCATGGGACGAATGAGCGTTTGAAGCAAGCTTTTGGAGATAACTGTTGAATATGATCATGTTTTGAACATATGTAATCTGACAAACTTCCGTTCCCTCAATACTAAACTATTAATCAATTTTCTGAGGTTGTGTCCGCACATTTTAGCTCGCCTATTAATCTATATATAAAATCTTCCCCAATAAACACGGAGATTTTGTTTCATCTCTAACTACTCATGTCTTTTAAAATTTAAGAGAAATTTAATCATTGTGTATTTTTTATAAATTTAATAAATTTCATCCGGATTCAAGTACAGTACTTTGAACTAAGGCACTAAGACTTAACACATTTTTCCTTATAATTGACCAACCAAGTTGGAAAAATCAGAAAGATGGCAATTTGTTTTTTAACAAAATAGGTCATTTGAGGCTTTAAAATTTGTGACAAGAGCAGTAGATTAAAAAATGACAATTATATGAAACAAAAATGCCTGTTTCTTTCTTTCTTCCTTCCTTTATGAAATGGAATGCATAAAATATATCTGGATATTATGAATATCAATCAGCAAAATTATAATATCTGTAAGAGTAAATAAATGTTTATCGGAGACGATTTTGAGGTGGATATTATATATGGGACGAGTATGAATTCATGGATTACATGTTTTGCAAGTTTCAACGGGAATGAGTATAAATATATGCATAGTAATAATATATAAATAAAGTGTCCAACATTATATTCCATTTTGTATCTTGATCCCGAAGCAAGTATGAATCACAAACAATGGGTAGAATGTTATGTAATATTTGTTCATATATCTGTGTTATAAAAGAAATATCAATAGAAACTACATGACAAGACCAAGTATTATACTTTCTAAAAACATAATTAACATAATTAAAAATGTATATAGACGATAAAATAACTCTAATTGAATAAATTGAATTGATGGTACTAGTTCATCCAACTTTTAAGACACATAACCATTTTATTATTTGAATAGGAGGTGAAATTTTGCCACCATCAAATGATCATGCTAACAAAGTTGCTTAGACTGTTTATAATTTTTAAAACTACAATGTGAATTGTAGGGGAGTCCACAAATAATTTTGATTTGTTTATAGAAAAATAAATATCTAATGTAAATTAACTACCTTGACCTAGTTTGGTTTTTCAACATCATTTATGAATTTGATTTAAGTGAAAACATTTATTGCCATTCTCACGTTTTATATTCTCTTTCCAATCTTTTTCCATTCATTCAATCCATCAAAAACTTTATGAAAGATAATCCTTCTATTTGGTGATTTTCTCTCCATTTTTTCTTATAAAACTAAACATACGGTTAAGGTTGTCTCAATAGGTCAACAACAAAGTTTAAATAAACTTACTTTCACAGCATTATTTTCATAATATTATTTCTCTTATATTATCAAAGAACATTTATTACATTTATCACATTTTTTAATGTAATTAAAGTTTCTTTTTACTTTCAATGACGTCTACAAAACTAAAAAATCAATTACATTCCATGTGACAACTTGTACAAGAATCTTTAGAACCTATTTGACAAACTAAGACTGCACCAGGTAAGAGTGCATCATTGCATGAATCTCTAGATTTATGTTGACACTAATATCCTACAGAAAAAGCAGATTAACGATTTTCCACTTCCTATCCAGCATTTGTTTCTCAGAAGAACACGTTTCAGGTAATATCTGCAAAAATGAGTAGTGTCCTTCATAACACTAAGATTTTCACCCTATGCTCTGGAAGCAAGCTGTATAAACTCAAATGTCCAAGTATAAACTCAATGCCTGTTAGTTTCCCTGTTGAATTGTCACAAAAGTAAAACACAAGGCCTAGGTGAAACAACCACCAAAGAAAGAAATAATTCCTTCCACCTGATCAAACCAAAATCCTAAACAAATCAAAGGGCGAGTCATTGGCTAAAGCTAGGCTACGGGGTTAGATTAATATAAACTATGGCTTTACCTCCAATCAGCAAACATAATGCATGTGAATGCATTACCTCCAAACTAGTTATCAGTTTCCATTCTATGTTTGATATACATAAACAAAAGATAGACTAAGTATAATACTGTAAAAGCATGGTTTTCTCGCTCTTGAAATAAAAATAAACAAATAAAACCAAAGAGTGAAGTTCCTTTCATGTTATATGAGCTCAGCTACTAAGAAAATCGAAGAAATGGATAAGTTCAAAAACCATTTGCATGTTCTCAACAACTGCCTGACCACATCCCTTCCCTGAAAAGTTAAAAACCTAATTCTGGCCACGGTGCATCAAATGACAAGAATCAGTCTATCGTTTTGCTATCTCTTCATCCCATAGTGAAACCAAATTCATTGGCTAAAAGATGTTATGTGTTTGGCTTAACTTCCAGGGTGCCTGTCAGCATGCAAAGTCACATTAAAAGCAAGCAAATAACACAGAAGCAAGCTTTACTACGTGTCTGGTTTGGCATCACAGGGCATGAACATTCAATAACCCAAACAATCAGGCTGGCATCTGCATTTTTTGCTTTCTTTTGATAGGAATATGCACGCTAACTTGTATCCTGAAAACTGATCAAAACATACAAGTTGCTTCAGGTTGACACACTGTGACCCCAAACCAAAAACATGCCATACAAAATCAGAATTGGACACAACACAATACAGAGGATAAGTAAGTAGTAAGAAAGAAGATCAATAAAGACACTTAATTCCAAAGGTTTACATAGAAGTTGGTATTTCACCAGATATACAGCAGCTCAAACAAAGAGATCTACCAAAGTTTTAAAGATTTTTTTTCCTTTCTAATTTCAATTTTTTTATTTTTTTGTTTTTGTTTTTTGTTTTTTGTTTTTCCCTCAATGAGCACCCTGTCCATTCTCAACACCTAACCCATACAAAACACCAGCATACTTCTCCATCGAGCCACTAAAGAAATTGTCCTTCAATTTCCTGAATGTACATGAAGTGAGCAAACTATCTGAACCAGCCTGATGGCAAATCCCGACCCTCTCGACCTCCAACAACTCGGCGAGCTTGTTCAAGCCACCGTGAAGGCTGTTGCAGAACTTCATGAGGTGCTTGATGTCATACACTGTGGGGAAATACATGTTAATCAAATTGAAGAACCCCACTTGCGTATCGGGCAAATTCTGACACGTCAAGAGCTTCAACAAGTACCCGAAATCGTAACCGCTATGAAAAGTAACCCAATGAACGTTGTCATTCAAAACGATCCCGGACGACATGAGAAGCTCCCCGAAACGGTGGGCGTCAATGCCGTCTTCGTTGTTCTTCTTGAAATCGATGCCGCTCTGGCGCAAAAGCTCGATTGAATCGTTAGCGAAGACGTCCTCGTTAACGTTGAACTCCCGGAAATTGAATTGCCAGATACAAAACGTGTGGGAATCGTCATCGGCGTCGATGGCAGCACAAGTTGGAAGGTTGCCGTGCTCGTCGGAGAAGGTGAGGCCCAATTGGATGAGCTTAAGCATGTCGACGTTGTCCTTTAGGGTTTGGTAATGGTAATCGTAGCTGTTCTTGAAATTCCCCACCGGTCGGAGAACGATCCCCGGAAATTCCGTGTCCATCGCGATGTATGGGTAATCATCCACGATTTCGCGAATCAACCCAAACTCCTCTTCCAGGTTATAATTCCACACCTCGCGAATCTGGATCGAATCGCTTTTCGGTAAAATCAGCGGCATTCCTTGCAACCCCGACAACAATTTTTTAGCACACTTCAGCGGATCTGTTCATTTTCATTGAACGTTAGACTCCATAATCATTCAAAATTGCAAATCGAATCGAAATTTCAGGATGAAAACAAACAAAAACAAAAAAACATTCACACATAATTGATTAATGAAAAAAACATTAAGATCGTGGTTCTAACCTCGGGTGGGGGAAGTTGGAAACTGACAAATGCAGATAGGAAAGGAAGAGATTTGTGGGGAAATGAAATCTCTCCCGTTCTAGGGTTTTCTTTTTTGTTTTGATATGAAGAGGGGAAGAAGAAGTGGGCGAAAGAGGAGGAAATCAAATTATTTTGTTACAAATTAGTGGTCCTCTCCTCTTATTGGATTCCTTTTTCTTCCCTCTTTTCCTTCTTTCTTCCAATGCTTTCCCTTTTCTTATAATCCTTTTATCATTATATTTTCATCAATATTCATTTTATTCATTTTCTTTGGGAAGAATCTCCTTGTTTGTTTCGTGGAAACCAAATCTTTCTCTAGCAATGTGTAGAGAGAGACAGGAAAATAAAGAATTCTTTTTTAATCAAATCTATCTTCTCGTCGTGGAATCAGATATTTCATTTTTAATGGTAAAAAACGTGTACACGATTCTTAATCCTTGCCTGCCACGTCCTCCATCTTTTTCTAACAATATATTTAAGTCTTTTATAAACATTAAATTATTTCTTTAAAATAAAAATAAAAGGTTTTTTAAAAATAGAGTAGATCTATAATTTTTTTTACAAAGTGAAAATCAATAAGTTAAATTATAATTATAATTTAATAATTATGGGAGATATGTTTAATAATTGGCTCTTATTTCTTATATCTTATAATTTTTTCCTACATCTACACAAAATCAAATATCTAATATCCTTATCATAACTTTACAATTTCTACACATTATGTACAACTTCCTATAAGGTTTTTATTATATATGAATTACCTATTTTATATTCAAATTGTTCGAACAAATCTAAATTTCTTAATTTAAAATAATATTAAAAAATAAGAATAAATTTTAAAAAAAGTTAATTCAATAAAATGTATTTTAAAATATTTTAAAATGTATTTTTAGAAAAAATAATATTAAAATATACTTAATTAGTTTAAAATATATTTCAAATTAAATGTTTCCAACATATTTGCATAAAGGTCAATCGAAACTGTATTTCAAAGATGAAGTAAGTATATGAATAAAATTGGATTTAAAATAATTATGATGCCGAAGCAACAGCCCTGGCTTTTTCTTTATAATATCTTTCGGGCCGAAGTTTACGTGTTTGAGCCCAACTGTTTACAAGAGGCTCAATTCGGGCCCAATAAAATCTCATTTTAGAGTTAAATAAATAGTGAGTTAATTGCTAGGGTTTCTCTTTCTCTGGTATAAGATCGTTCAGTCACTACTAGTTCTCTTCCTAGCAACTACTGTTTTCGGCGCAAGCATCATCAGCTTCAAGGTTTTTCTCTCTTTCTCTATCTGTTTAACTATGGTTTTAAACATTACTGTTAGTGACTACACCTCAAATGAATTGTCCCTACCTTTAATCGCGCTAAATCTTTTTCTTGTTTTTAAACTGCTGGGTTTATGGTGGAAGATTTTAGCCTTTCTATTAGATAAGGCATTGGCAATTGCATAAATGACTAGTGTTGACGATTCGGTGATTTTCCATTTAATATTAGTACGTGTCAGTGTTGCAACCTTCTCGATTACATAAAAAAATTAGGCGTTTGCGTGAATGACTGAATGCTGCTTCACAGCACAAGACCTGATTCCTTTGGTTATTGTTTTTGCAGGAAGGAGATTTTGTTTTTTATCCCAACAAGGAAAATGTCAGGGTACGGTAACTTCGCTTTTGTGTGCTTGATTAATACATTGATAATCAATAGTTTTGCTTTTGTGTTCGTTTGTTTAATACGAAGATAGTCAGTAAATTTGTTTGTGTGTTTGTGAAATACAATGGTAGACAGTAGCTTTGCTAGTTCTTTAGCGTATATGGGTGGAAATTTGTTAGCTGGGATATTGTCTTAGTTATTGATTACTATGTTAGTAGGGGCCTGTGGAAGTAGCTTATAATTTATCTTCATTTGGTTAGAGAATTGAATTTGAAAACACTACAGCCAAACAATTGTTATATAATACACATTAAGGAACGAATGAAAAATTATTCTTTGGTTATGATGATATTGTATATAGTCTTTGTGAGCCCTTGAGAGTAGCTTATCATCATATTTTTAAGAATTACATATTCAGGATAGAATAAAAATATGCTGTTATTGTCTTCATCATTCTGGTAGTTTGTCCTATTTGTGTGTTTCTTCTGAAAATAGTTTTTCATCATCCAAGTATTAATGCTTGATTTTTTTTCTCCTGCAGTGAAGAGGTTGTGGTTGCAGCTGAGCCAGCTGCTACTTCCATTCCGGGTGAGCCCATGGATATCATGACAGCTTTACAACTTGTTCTTAGAAAATCTCTTGCTTATGGTGGTCTTGCACGAGGCCTTCATGAAGGTGCAAAAGTGATTGAGAAGCATGCTGCCCAGCTCTGTGTTTTGGCAGAGGACTGTGATCAGCCTGACTATGTTAAACTAGTTAAGGCTCTCTGTGCAGAGCACAATGTTAGTCTGCTGACTGTTCCTAGTGCAAAGACCCTTGGAGAATGGGCTGGTGTAAGTGTTCTTGATAGTAAACCTTGTTAATTTCATTTAACTTTAACGTATACTTTCAAATCTGCTTAGTTTTGTCACTGTTAATTCTGGCTGACTTTCTCCATGCAGTTATGCAAGATTGATTCCGAAGGGAAAGCAAGGAAGGTCACTGGTTGCTCTTGTGTGGTTGTCAAGGTATTAACTGTGTGGGAACGGAAATGCTTGTTATTATTAGTGGTCTTTCATTGCATTATCATTTTTTGACTATTGTTTTCTTGCAGGATTTCGGTGAGGAACATGAAGCCTATAATGTTGTTCTGCAGCATGTGAAATCCCAATGAGTTGCAAGATTGATAGCTTTTGTGCACTTCACTCTTTATTTTGTCTAATTCCATGAGAATGCATTTTGCACTGTAGCAGAATTATATCTATCTTGGTTTTGATTGTTTAATTTACCGCATTCCTGACGTTTTTTTAACTTTTTTCTTCTGCGATGCATTGCCGATACTTCAATTAGGAACTTTGTTTCACATCTCTGTAGAAAGTTAATCATTAAAGAAGGTTAAGTTAGATGATAAGATAATTAATCTTTTAAATTTGGCATTAATGGTTTTTCTTGCTTTGCCTGTGACAATCTAGCATGTCGAAAGTTATTTGAATCGACAACAATATATTGCTTCCATTACTAGTAGGCATACCTTTCGCTGTCACTTTCTGACCTTGTTAAGGTTGCGATAAATGTAGTTCCAGGTAAAGTAATTGTTTTCAGATTGGCCTGTTGACTTGTGATTTCTCTCAATTTCTCATGATGTTATTTATCGTAGTCAGCCAGCCATTTGCAAAAGTGAACTCATTTGTGATTTGTGTCCCGTAAGTCCACCCTCTGGCGGTCGTGGTTTATTTTTCTTACAAGATTTGATGTGTATGCTTTGTTAGTTTATACTTATGATTTTCAGTTTAGTTTAAAATGGTTGACGAAATTCGGATTTTAGTTGAAAAATAGTTAATTTAGAATATACGCTATAGGATTGACGAGGAGGCGATAGGTGCATAATGCAAAAAACTAGTTATGATTACGACATGCCTTAATTTGATTATGGGTGTGCATGGTATGTGATTTGTTTACTTAATAATAATATTAATTTAATAATAATATTAATTTAAAACAATCCTGGATATTATCGAATAAGTTTTTTGTATGTACGAGTAGGCTAATTGAGGGTACATTATTCTGGGCTTTGCCCATTTAATAACTATTTTATTTAGAGAATTACAGAGGAGGGTGGTATACAGAATGAATCTTTAAAAGAAAATTTACTGAATTAATTTATTTAAATATATTTGTTTATTGTTTATATTGAGTTTTTCTTTTATTTTTTTCATAAATTATATGCTTTCTTATATTTTAATTTATTTTTCATCTTTCTCTTTTTTGTTTTATTTTTTAAAATTTTCTCTCATTTCTTATTTTTATTAAAATTTAATAAAAATATTAAAATAAATATTTTATAAATAATATTGAAATTAAAAAATATTGACTAAGTATATAAAATTATGATAATAAATAATTTTATTTTGACAGTAAATAATTTTATTTACAATGATATAAATAAATATTTGAAAATATTTTATTATAATAAATAATTATTCATTTAACTAAATTTAAAAAATATAAAGTATTTATAATTTAAATGTATTTTTATTTAATAATTTAATTTAATTATAATTATGTTGATTTATGATAGTTAGGTTTTCTAAAAAAAATACTTGTTAATAAATATTTAATTTTTTCTTAATAATTATAATATAATAATTTTTAAAATTTATTATATAATATTTTTTCTTATTTAATATACTAAATTATAGTATTTTTAAATTATTTTAATATTTTTTATTTTTTAATAATAAAATAAAATCATATTAAATTTTAATAGATTAAGATATATGGAAAGAAGAACAAAAGAGAAAAAAAAATAAGAGGAAAATAATTATATTATATTAAATAAAATTTTTTTTATTAAATTTTATATTAATTCGTGGTATGTAAGGTATTTATTTAAAAGTAAAGGATCAATAAAAAAAATATAATAGAAATAGTCTATCAAATAATTTTTTTTTTATGAGGGCGGGAGGGTGAGGGGATTTTTTTTTTTTTATAATTAAGAAAGATATAAGATAATATTCATTTATTTATTTCAAATTGAACTTATTTTTAATATTATTGTTATTACAATTATGACATATTCGTACGTAGAAATATCTTTCTCTATTTATTTATCTTTATTGTGTATTATTTAATAACACATATTTCTACTCTATTTTTACATTATTTAGTACAATCCTTTCCCTACTAAAAAAGTCAAAAATTTCGTCTTTCTTTTATTGTTATGAGGTCATTTGTTGACTATTACACATAAAAACACAGCCATTTTTATTTTAATTATAACGAATTCTACATAAATATTGGCTTGCGAACATTTTACAATTGAACTTTTTCACACTTTTTTGGTCTATTGTAATGCTATTATCTTCATAACTAAGTTATTAAAAATTTAAAATGATTTTTTTTTATAGTTCTTTGATATTAAATACTTTTTCTATCTTAAAATTCGGATGCTATTCACTCCTCTAAATTGGTCATTTGAATTCTCAAATTCTAGGTTTTAATTAGTATCACTTAACAAAAAAGCGCCTGTTGAACCATTTTATTCTAAAAAATATAACAAATCTATATGTTTATTTTTATATCCCATTCATGTTTTAGATAATGATAACATAACACAATTTTTTTTCAAAAAAATCTACATCATAATTTATTTATTTTTAAATAATTTAGGAATTTTTTGTCCTGCATGATCTTCCCCGTACACCCCATATTATTTGAAAATACAATACTCTTTTTTATTTTATAAAATTAATGATATCTGGAATATTCGTGATTAATAAATTCGTTAAAATTTTGGATAAACGAATTTAAAAATATTACTTTTTTAAGTTTTTAATTACAAAATTTGAAATATAATTTATTAGTTTGAAAAAACGAGTTAAAAAAAATTTTCCAATCCGAAATACTTCCAGAGCGTTGATTTTGAAAATGTCACTACAAAATGCTGCCAATTAACTAATTATGCAAAAAAATTTGAAAAATCATTCCGGAACCTATTTTATGAGATACATGATGATGAACATACGGGAGTGTAGGAAGCAGGGACCATAGTTTATTTCAGCAATATTTATTCTACAACCTTCTAAGGCCCAAGGTAAGCCCATTTGTCTATTTTTATTTGTGAAAAATGTTGGCTATAAATATATATACTTATTCTGATCCAATACTTCATCTTTAATCTTTGGATATTTGATTGATATCTCGTCTCAATGCTGATTTAAGCATCATCCCATGATCCATAAGGTATAAACACATGCTTTGTTTTTAATATTTTAATTTTAATTGATATTGACTTGAATTTTTTGTTATTTTCATAGGTTTACCTATTTTAAAATACATTGTCATTGTTGAACAATCCTCTAAAATCTTTCATTCAAAATTTATAACAAAATTTAAAGTGATAAGATATGTGATTATTTACATAAAATTATAAAAATTCTTTTTATTTATTTTTACCAAACTAGTGAAGGTGAATAAGAAGAATGTGAAAAGATAATGAATTAAACCTCGAAACGATTATAAGATTGAAAATATTTTTTTTTTAAATACAGACTTGACTATAAAAGACATTTCGGTCTTTATTTTTTATTTTTTAAATTATTTTCAATTTTTTTTGTAAGAACATTATTAAAATTTATTTTTTCTAATTTTTAATTTTTAATTTTGTATTGAGATAGTGAATATTTTTTTTATTCTCAAATCTAGAGTAAAACCTCTAATTGATATGTATTCTATTATAAATTTTTATTGTTGTGAAATTCTCAATGTTATTTGCTTTTAATGCTGATTTTTAGGTCAATTTTCATATTTTAAAATAAAATTACATTTTCCTCACTATTGTTTGTGAAATCCCTAATCTTAATCAAAGTCTCCTATAACTCCTTATAACCTGTATTTTTGAAATTCATAATTTGAAGTTCCATATTTTTGTTTTAAAATTAACGATGCTCCAACTGATATAAAATTGTGTTCAATTCAATTCAGATGATAGTATGGAATTCATGGCAAAAAAAGGTAACAGAGAGATAGATATACATGCATATAAAAAAATGAAGATGAAAGATGACATGAAGCAATTGCAGAAGATCATGAAGGGAATAGCACTTGAAGAACTTCCTCCCCAAATGTGTGAGCATTTTTGTGGCATTTTTCTAACTCAGTTTCATCAGGTGAGGTTATTTTTCTGAGATAGATAGTTTTTGAAAACTCACTGAGATTTGCAATCAAAGGTACTTTATTTATAACCCTAAATCATAATCACAAGATTCTTAATCTTAATTTGTTTAAATACTCACTTTTAGTCAATTTCCTTATTCTATAAATTTTTTTTCTCACTGTAGTTTATGGAATCCTGATCATAAAATCAAATTCTCCTATGTATCATTCTGAAATTTGCAATCTAAAAAATAGTATTATAATTTTTAAAATTAATGATGGTCCAATTGATAGAAATTCTTGCTCAATTCAAAAGATAAAATGAAATTTATGGCACAAATTTGTGGTAGAGAGATAGATATAAATGTGTATAAAAAAAAACTAATGAAATTTGTAAAACCCTAACAAATATATAAAAAATTTGTAAAACCCCAACAAATCTATCCAGCCGCCAAAAAATATATCCCAAATTGACACAAATTTTACAAGAAAAAAAAATGTACATAGTGTATGTTAACAACATTTAGAGAAAAAAAAAGTCTTATTTCTTATTATTGCTTTATTAAGTAATGTGATAATGAAATTGTTTACTTTAATATTTTTTTTAAATGATAGTTTACAATAAAATTGTCAACTTTCTCTGTATATGATGTTTTTTTTGCAAGTTATTTGAAAGTAAATTTTAAATAGAGAAATATTAGAACATAAATTTGGGAAGGTTTTGCTAATTGAGAATAATGCAACCTTGTTCCTGTTTTTGTGTTGATGTCTTACAATTTTTTAATTTAATATGTTATCATTAAAAGTTTTTATATTATTATATAAGTCTAAATTGTTATATGTGATAGTATGTTGACTTTTATGATGATTAAATTAAAATTATTTTAATTTAATAAAAGTCTAAACAGCTTGAAAAATTATATTTTTGAATGAAGGATAGAAACATATACAAGTGACTGTGTTGCATAACTGGTGGTAGAATGTTGGAGAAAGGTGAATGACCAAAACCAGGTATGCAAGTGTGTGTCAGTGTCAGTGACACATAAGCTCTCTGCAATGCAAAGAGTAAAGAGTTCAACACTTCAAGTCAAAGGAGTAAGTGAGGCAGTGGTATAATGGTAATTGCAGCAAGGTTATTATCAAAACAGAGTTCATGGGCAATGTTTACAATGCTCAAAAGGCTTAAAGTGCCAATGGGGAAGAAAGGAAATGACCCTTTTAAAGGATTTTTTTTTTTTCCTTAAAGTAATCAAATAAAAAGGAAAAAACAAAAGTAATCTTAGCACAGGGTATAGGTGATTTCAAGCGGACCCAGAAAGAAACTGAATGATGTGTGGAAGTATAAAATCATTGGCGGATTGTGAAGCTGATCATCTGTGTGTGTGTTTGCATGTGCACGTGCAACACATACTCTCAAGCCCCTGAGATCACAAAACAACTGCTGAGATATTTGCAGTGACCTAACCAGTTAGGGTTATAAAGGCCTAATTGTGCATTGCAGTGAATGTGCAAACATTCTGGCCTGAAAATGGCCTCTGCTGATGAGACTGAGAGGAGTGTGGCAAAAAAACTTAGGCATGTGGGGAGGAAGCTCCTCAAGGGCTCTTCCCTTCACAAGCTTCTGCAGTTGCTTCATGTAAATGATCTTTCATCTGCTTTTTTTATATGCATGTATTTCTATCTCTCTGCTGAGTTTTTGTGCCATGAATTCCACTATCTTCTGAAATTGATCATGAATTTCTATCAGTTGGACCGTCATTGTTCAATAGATTTTTTGTTGCTGCCTCTAATTTCCTGTGTTCGGTGTAGATTATTGTTTATGTTGGTGCTTGGTATTTCTGACCTCAAATGGGTTTGGACGCCCAAATTTTGGATATTTATCAGAGAGATTCTGTAGATTTAGTATTTTAAAAGTTATCACTGTGATTATTCTCATGATCTAACATGTCTTTCATTTTTTCTGCAGCATTCAGGATTTCATTTTCATTTCTCTTAAATTTTCTGACTTTGAGTTTCTTTGGGACTGTGTGACTCTATGCACTTTTTTCATAGGGCGTGTTCCTGAAAATCCCTTTTCCAATTTCTGAATCATTGGTTAAATAGAGTGACTGTCCAAGGTTCATCTTTACAATCCGATTTGGAAGTCCAAAGCCACCTTGAAGATCAAGATTTTTCTGGTGCTTAATAGAATTATTAGTTAATGCTAATTACATTTTTAATTTGGGTGCTTCCTAGATTCCCATTGGGGGGAAGGAGGTATACTATCCTTGACAGATAGAAATCTGAGATGCCAAGCCAGAGTGCTTCACCATGAAGAGGTGGACACATTGGCAAAAGTCACTGCCTTGTGAAGGGAGCCAACCTTCCCATGTTCTAGTGAACTACTATCCATCAAGTGGATTGGTAGGATTTCTAGGAAGGGAGACTGCATCAAGGAATCACAACTTTGAGAAAAGGGCAAGTTTCCTTTGTGAGGTTAGGGAAGCCTTTAGCACTGCATGGCTGTAATCAACAAGACCACACCCACTTTGTTGCCCATTGACACAGACAACCCCAGAAATTTGACCCTCACTTTGTTGACCTGCCTCCATATTCAAGGATCCCACACTTCCATTTGGCCAGAATAATTGTCTTTCAGGGATCAATCTTGCATCAATTGAATGGTAGGTCACGCTTCACCAAAGAACAATGTCCCAGGACTTCCCTTCGAACCCCTATGAAATCCTTGCAACGAATAGTGACTGCAACACTCCTCCAGTTCAGATACCAGAGCCATAGAATTCCATTTACTCCCAATTGGTATTCGAAGGAATTAGACATCTTTTCTTCAGATGGTTCCTCTTTCTATTTGTGGTTTAAATTTACCATTTTTCACTGTGTAGGATCCCTTATCCTCCAAATTCCTTGTAACTTCATTCTCCTTGATCAAATGATTGTTTGCTATTATGAAAAAAGATTCTCTCAGTTACTCAAGAGCAGCTGAGCAGTTTTTGACCTATGGAGTGTAATGCTCTCTATCTCCTTGATGTTATAACTCAGGCCCCTTTTGAATTTCTTCTATGGTTTCTACAATTAGTCAAATGAACTTACTACTTTTTTGAATTTAATCATGAGCAATATTATATGTCTTGTTGGTTAGATGCAAACAAATCTTATTTTGATATTTGACCTGTGCTCACAAATTGTGCACTAAAATATAGATATTTAGAAAGAGTTTTGTTTATTCCATCACTTGAGTTGAAAAGATCAAGTGGAATATCAGGTTTGGCCTTTCTCAATTAACAAAATAGGGAGTTATCCCCATGTATTTCAGTTCTTCTTATGAATTTTGCAACAAAGTTTAACAACATTGTTACAACAGTCCTTCCAAGCTTGATTGAACTCTAACTTTTTTTTGGTTTTCTTACTTTTAGAAATTGGAGCTTGTATTATCAACCGTGGGTCAAGAACCAACTAAGCTAATTCAAGAATCACTTGTACTTTCTATGAAGGCATTGATTTCAGAAGAATTTTTGAGGCACACAGATGAGGATGTTAAGATTCTAGTTATATCTTGCATCTCCGAGATTACAAGAATCACAGCGCCGGATCTCCCTTATGATGATGAACAAATGAAGGTAGCAATTTTAGTGTGATATATCTGTATTTTTCTTTAGTAAATTATTCAAGTATACTGTATAGTGTATACCATAAATGATGTAAATGCATTTTTGTAAACATATTTTTTCTTGTTCAAATTATAATAAAGCATTTCATTTCTTGGTGAACAGGAGATCTTCAAGCTCACTGTGGCATCTTTTGAGAAGTTGTCTCACATATCTGGCTGTGGCTATGAAAAAGCACTTACAATACTTGATAATGTCAGTAAGGTCAGGTTATGCTTGGTCATGCTGGACCTTGAGTGTAATGACCTGGTTATTGAAATGTTTCAGCATTTCTTGAGATTTATAAGGTTAGAACTTGACAATATGTCTTTTATCTGTTTCTTCCTTTTCCAAACATTTATATGTTTGATTATTTCTAATTACTTATTTAACAAGCGAACATAGCTTCTTATTGGATATTTCAAATGAGTTGACATTGTTAACATTTAAACAGTTCTACAATTTTCGTGAAGCATATTGGAGTAGTTCACATGACTAGAGGATCATATTTAAATTTTAATCATGTGGTAGCTTATCTGCATGCTTTCCTGATTATTCTTGAAAACATGTCAGACACCCTCCCATTGCTATGGTGTATGTTTGGAAGATAGGGAAGGGAAGCAGGGGATTGGGTTTCATGTGGGCAATGAGTAAGATAGTAAAGATAACTATTTTATCAATTTTGGAAATGAAATTAAATGAATAGAATCAGTTGCAAATTTGCGATGAAAACATTGAATCGAATTGAGGAGGGAGAGGAGGGAGTGAACATGTTTCAAGTGTGCGGAGCATGGGGAGGAAGCTAACCCAGCATCCTGAAGTGTCTGCATTGTCTCTGTTTAATGTAAAACCATTTATTAACAGGTTAAGCTTCTGCAAGATAAAGTCTCTCAGATGATTTTAATCTAACAGTCTATTTTCTTTCCTGTTTGGAAGAGTGTTTTGCATCAGTTGTTTTACCAGTTTCCTTCTGATACCATTATCACCTTAGTATTAGAATACAGATCAGAAATTTGAGTAAATGCTTTCAGTAAAACAGGGCTCTGTATTGCAGTTTCCTATTAATTTACTTGAGGTGCTTCTGAAGACGAAGCAATTTTTTTGTGAATTCTTTGTCTTATACGTATTCAAACATGAAGTGGTGTAGCCAAGGAAATCAGTGTTTTTTTCTTTGCATTTTCCTTTTGCCGATGTCATGTAGATCATAGATGAAACATTGGAAGTTGTTTTACATTAGTAAATGCTGATTAAAAGGCAGATTGCTTGTTTTGTTACAAAAACAAAAGTTGATTACCTTTTCCTTTTTTAGTGTTCCCACTTTTTTAAGTTTTCATTCACTTCTAGAATTATTAATTACTAATATTTTGTCAATTAAAAGGCCAAACCATCCCTGTAATGCATTCCATTCAATGGAATCAATAATGACCCTGGTCTTGCAAGAAAGTGAACAAATTTCCCCAGATCTTCTTAGACCTCTGTTGGATAGTGTAGGGAATGAAAATCAGGTAACATGCTTTGCATTATATCTATTTCTTCTTGTATTCTTTTCTTTTTGTTTCTTTTATTTATTGGGTTATTTGATTTTCATGTCATTTTGTCTAACTTAGTCAATCTGGTTTAATTTATTTTCCTAGACTATTTCACCTATGTCTTGGACATTGGGAGAGAAAGTAATTAGCAACTGTACTGTTAAGCTCAAGCCTTATCTCATGAAGGCAGTGGAGTCCTCAGGAAGAGCTCTAAATGGGTATGCACAGATAGTAAGTGATATTTGCCAGAATGAATCTGAATCTCCTCAATGTGATGATTCAAATGGTTCGAAGAAGACAGAGGTGCGTTTTATTTGCAATACACTATCAGATAAACTGTTATATGGCTAATATGTGATATTCTTGCTTAGTATTAATTTGGCTGCTTATTGGAAACCATGGAACGAATTTAGCTGACTTCTGCAAGTTCTCTAGAAACTTGATTGCTGCTGTTGTTTTCATTGGTATATTTTCTAAAGAAAATGGTGCTCAGTGCTTTGTAAAAGAAAGAACTACTGAAAAAGAGAAATTAACATAAGGCATAAGAAATTAGGTAATGGAAAATTGTGAAACAAGGTCAGTTTTTTTCCAGGAAGGAAGATTGGGGATTCAAATAACCAATTTAAAATATGTTTTTCATTAAATGTTTTTAATCAAATGGAAACATGCCCAAAAGATATAGGCATACGAAAAACTCAAGTAGGAAATGAACAGCTGTCAACCATGTCACCTGTGTTCCTTTTATTCAAGGAAGAAGCTCTGATCAAATTTCAGCAAATAAATCGGTAATTTACCATCAAAATATTCTTGCTCACTCAAGTTGTTTTTGCGTGTAATAACACACAAGTTCTATTATTAGGGGTTGGGGGATATGGATGGCGCCTGTATCTATTTTATTGATATGTTCATATTTTTGTTGTTATTTGCAACAAGTTGTTACTTGATTTTAGTCTGAGTTAGGATTGGTTGTGTCAATGCTTCAGGTTCAGGAAGATGAAAGCAAGCTTAATGTTCCTAATGATGCAAAGGATCAAACGTGTGATGTAAATTATCTTCTACTCTTCTCAATTAGTTATTTTTATATTAAAATTTTCCTTGCAAATATAATTTCAAGGCTTGCTTCCTTAAAGCACCGGTTGATATTAATGCAGTATTAAACTTTTAACTTGATTCTTAATCAGGAAACCAAGGGGCAGGAACCTGATGTTACTGGTCAGAGAAATGTCCAGAGTTTAGACGATACAGAGCCAAACAGAAGTGCCACTATAGATGGTGAAGCTATAAAAAAATCTGGTTCAAAAAGGAGATCACATTTTGAAATTACTAAGAACTCCAGAAGAGGAAGTGCGAAAGCCAAGTTGGAAACTGACAATTTAGAGTCTGCTCAGGAACCAAAATCAGAAACTCAGCTGAATAGTGTGCCAAGGAAGAGGGGGCGTAAGCCTAATTCTTTAATGAATGCAGAAGAAGGATATGATCACTCGTGGGTTTGTCGGGAAACTAAAGTTGGAAACTCAACTCTATCCAGAAAGACTCGCAATTGCAGCGCTCCATTTCCATCTTCTGAAAAATCTACTTCAAAAACAGGTAAGTTGCATGGAAAGCCTAAAACGGTAAGTGAAACTCCAGTTTATGAGCCGAAAAGTGAGAATATAGCAAAACCTGCCAAATCCAAAAGGACTCATAATATTGCAAGTGATTTTCCCCCTAATGATACAAGTGAAGGTCGTGAAGCTTTATCTTCTAAACCTAAAACTGATGAGTATACTGATGTTTCTCCTTCTATAAATAATAACATTTCTGATGGATGTCACATCAAACGAGGTCAGAGAAGGAAAAAAAATAGCATCGGGAATCAAGGTGTTCATTCCAATTCTTTGTCAATGTTAAAGGAAGACAACTTGACTTTTGGATTTGGCAGGTTGGATAAGGAATCTGAAGTAAGGAATGACTCTGAACAAAAACCCATTAGGAGAATCAAATTTTCTGTAAAGATTGATGGGAAACTTGTCATGGCTCCAGAATCAGTTGCTAAGAGGGAGCCTAATGTTCCATGTGGAGACGAGGGGAAACACAAATCATCTATGAATGATGAGCTAGAAAATATTGAAAAGATCAGATTCTCAACTCAAACAAATGTTAAGAAAAGAAGGAGGCTTGATGCTACTCCTAATGAGGGCCTCAACAAATCATCAGCTCTGAAGGTATAGCGTGTATCTTTTCACAATCCCCCAGTACAACACATTATACTTTAGTGAAAAAAACCTCACATATTTTGTTTTTTGGGGTCGATGTCTCCACTTTTTAGGAGCTGATTGCAGAATCTGCAAATAAAACATTAAATGGTGTCATGGAAATCCCACAAGCAAGACTGAGGAGAAGACACAGTAATGTAAGTGCAGAGGTATGCATTTGAAATTCAGTATGAAGTTATTTAAATTTCAATCTTTTTTCCAATAAAACACCATGAAATGTCCCATTTTCTTTAATTTTCATATGACTCAGTATTCTTTTCAGTTTTAATCTGAAGGTCCTTAATGCGTGATACTCTCTAATTGCCTTCCTACTGCTGCTTTTTAATTCGTAACTAAAAATTTATGTCTGATCATCTCTCTCTCTCTCTGTTTATGTATATGTGTATGTTTTCGGCCATCGTCCAGCGTAAATATTGTACCCTATTTTCCATACTACACAGCAATAGAGATCTAAATTAATAATATTTGCCATGCCATTTAATTTTCACGTTTTTGACAGGGTGGTTTTAATCAGATTTTTGTTCAATGTTGTTTGTTTAGTGTAAATTTCCACTGTATTGATTTTTTGTCCTAATTTATACCCTATTAACCTTTTTTCTCTCAATAAATTACCATATCTGTACTTTTCTTCAGGTATCTGAATCTCATCACTGTGGTAACTCATTGGTTGGTAGTAAAATCAAGGTCTGGTGGCCAAAGGATAAGACGTAAGTATCTTGGTGGCTTAGTTTGTGATCTATTTATATCTCTGCACTCATCTGTTGCCAATATGCCTCAGCTGCATTATACTGTGAAATATTTTTCCTAAGCCATCTTGCTTATGAGCTATGGGTTTAGGACAAATCTCATATTTAGAGGAAATTATTTTATAAATCATAGTTGGGTGAAGGTTTACCATAAACGTCTGTTTATGATGTGTACTTCGTCTGTCAACTCTTAGTAGAGTTCTCATGGGCTATATTTTTTATATTCTGGTGGGGATTGTTTAAAAAAATTAATTGCCACACATTCTCTTGAATTTTCAGATTTCAAAATCACTATCCATGTCTTGCTAATTCAGTAGGCTCATAAGATAATTCCAGGTTCTTCGAAAATAGAGTTGGGGCACTTATGGTCATCTACCATATCTTTTATATAGGGTGGCCCATTGGATCACTTGAATTAAGAAATGTGCTAAGTGATTAAGATAAATAATTCAAATAATTTTTTTTCTAAAAATAAAAACTTTAGCTTGAGAACTAAATGCTATGTTCTGGATTTCTTTTCCTTTAAAGATATTGGGAAGTTATGTAATATCATCCCGAAGCACGCCAAATGTTTATCTTGTTTTGTGTGTGCATGCTTTTGTTGCTTGCTTGATTTTGTTCAGTAATTTTTGTTTGTTTAATTTACAGGTTTTATGAAGGTGTTATCGAATCTTATGATCCTATCAAAGGAAAGCACAAGGTGAGATGGTTGTCACTGATGCTAATTTTTATATTTTTTCTGTTCTTTAAATATGTGTTGTAAATATCATAGATATTTTAGGAGGTCCAAAATACTCAGTGTATTTTCTAATACTTGTTTCCCTATTCGGTTGTTTCCCCATTTACCCTATAAAAGGGAGATTGGTGAATTTATTAGACACAATTAATATACAGTTTTTTTCTTTCAACTAATTGTTCCTGTAATAAAATTACAAAATTTTTCTTTGTTTTCACTTTATTTTCTGTTTTCTTCGTTAATATTTTGAATTGCTTTTTAATAGATTTTGTATGCCGATGGTGATGTTGAAGTGTTGAACCTCAAAAGACAGCGTTGGAAACTAGTTGCTGTTGATGTTTCGTTAGACGAGGTGAGCATAAATTTTGATGCTTATTTAATTACTCTCTGTGTTGCTGATGATGTTTCACAGAGGAGGTGAGGATCATGCTTTAATACCTTGTTTAATTGTTGTATGTACATGCGTCACATATGTGTCTTACTATTGCTGTTTCATTTGATGAGGTGAATAAAGATGAAAGTTTTGACACTTGTTTAATTATTGTATGTACGTTAGTTTGTGCATGTCTGTTTACTGTATTATATCGTATTATACATTTAATTCATGCATGCTGATATTCTGCCATCAGGAAGGACTTGCACTTCAGAGGCTTGCAGAAGCATCAGACATGTAAGTATAATTTGGTCTGCAGGACATTAATGCCTAAAATTGATAGGACCTTAAACTAGAAGTTTTTTTTTTTTTTTTTTTTTTTTTTTTAAACCTCTTGATTTATTTCTTATATTATAACAAAGACGAAATTGGATTTCATACCAATAACAGACCTTTTATATTAAATTGATTTTAAGTTTATGTGCTCAATTAAGTTCTGGACAATTGTTTTGCTTTTATCCTTGTCTAATATTTTAAGCTTACACTGTCAAATAATTCATAATGTACAGAGCAGAAAAAGGCAAGAAAAAATCAGAATTGGAGTCGGCCAAGACTGCAAATATCACTTCTCAGTCAAGGTTAGTCGGCAAGTCCGAATCTATGAAATATGCAGATACTTCAGCTGTTGACATATCTGGTTTGACTGATGGTTCACCATTAAATGTTGGCAGAAAATATTCCAAGAAGCCTAAAAACCGAAGGAGTACAGATACTTCTTCTGTTGGCATGTCTGGTTTGGCTGATGATTCACCGATAAATGTTAGCAGAAAAGACTCCAAGAAGCCTAAAAACCGAAAGAGAGAAAACTAGCTATGGGCCTCAATGCAGTGTTTACTAGTTGGCTCTGAAGCGTTAAGTTTATCGTACTAAAGCGTTAAGTTTATCGTAGGGATTATCAGTTCAGTATGTTTTGTTTCATAGTTACCCTGCAAACTTGTCAGCCTTTAGCATGACTTGATATATTATGGTGTCTAAGACTGTTTACTTCAGAAGGGTTTCTTGACACCCTTTTCAAAACTTGGTTCCATATAGGTAAATTATGACATGTATTTTGTGTTAGAGTAGAAGGGTTTTGTTTCATTCCTGTTGATGGGAAGGCTAGTACTTTTTTAATAGCAGAGTAAATGATTTCTACATCACCTTTGATCCCTAATGGATAAAGAATCAGTTTCATAAGGTGAATATCTTTTATTATCTCAAAATTACCTAACATTTCTGGTCCCATGGAAATATAGAAAATACAAACGACTAGACATAGCAAAGTATTGTGTCATGATGTCATTCGATCCTAAAAATTGGCTTGAGAAGCATAATAAAAGAGGACTACACATAAGTCTAATTTTTTAGAAAGATGAAACATGATATTCTATCTCTGGTTTTTAAGCCTCACCCATGTCAAAACTATAACCTAATTGATTGAAAATATTAATCTTGTCTTCACCATAGTGGTCGTCAGCACCACACAGTAGAGTGTTGTGTAATTTTTTGTGATATGTTTAGCATGTGTGCGTAGCAATCATCATAGAAATACAAAACCAAAAAGTTCTGATGTTATTTAACTAGTCTTATTTTATTGTACTAAGCTCACTTTTAATATTTTGACTTAATTAGATGCATCCAAAAGTATGTTATGATGGTTGTAATAGTAAGCTTTGTGAAAAATGTGTTTTTTCAAAGATGTGGTGTGTAAGCAGTGATATAAATATAAAATATTTTGAATACTCTCTTTTTAATTACTTTATCATTAGATAGAAATTTTATACCATTTCAATCAATAAAGGGTATTTTGGTTGTTTCTATCAATAGAAATACTCTCTATTCCCATTTGCATCATTCACAATTTTTCCATCTCATTTTCCCTGATATTTCTTTCTCTCGTGTCACATATTTTATTACATCAGTTATTTGTTTCGTTTTTACCTTATCTCTCTTTTATCAGCATACACCAAACTATATATCATCCTCCCTAGCTAAATTTGTGAAATTTGCTGACTTATGATAAAAAACAATAAAAATCTAATGACACATTGCACTTCCAGAAGTAACCTTCACAATGTCAGAAAGCTAACCAACAACCAGCATCATACATAATAATCTGCATAATTTAATAAAGCATTGACATTGCATTGCAGCATCATAGGGTCAAAAAGATGGAAAGTAATACTCACCAAACCTTTTGAAAACAACTCAAGGTTTTCCCATTTTCCCATGCTGTGATGCCTTCATCATTCTCCATAAGATTGGAGTTTGGAAGGTCAGGATTGGTTTGATTGGATGTGGTTGCTGTTGTTGTTGATGAGTGTGGATTTTGGGCCAGATTTGTGCATGCTCTTATTCTTGACTTTGACTATGTCAAGTATGAATCTCTCTCTCGCACCAACCCAAGCACTAGGTAGCAGCATATTTTGCCTTTCCCACTTAACTACGAAACCATTTTTAGATTCTATACACCATGACTCCGTTCCCACCTCCCCCATTTACTGCAGAACAAAGCATCAACATTACAGTGGCTCAAATGGGCACAACTTTCATTTATGCCCTGTTTGGTGCGCATAATGAGTCAATTTAGCCTTTCCAGAATATGAGCAATAAATTGACTAATCTCTATATAATGAGTATGATACAATTTTTATGAATAATGAAGCTGGAAAGAGAACTTCCTAACAAGAAAGGATCTGATTCGGCCTAATTCATCTTTAATAAATACATGATTCTACTTTATTTTATTTTATTTTAATATCAAATTATATTTTTCCAGGCTTTAAAATAATATTCTAGTAATCTATCTTAATTAAATATATAGATAAATTAAAGTATGCTTGCGTCAACTGAATGCCACCGCGTTCACAATTTTAAGTATAAACGTGTAATTTCAAAACACAAATTACAATACAAAGCTTCACCTGGTTGGTTGCTGAATAAAATTGGTGCATTCTTTAAACATGTTAAACTAGCTTTTCCTTCTCAGGATAAAGTAAAAAAGAAAGTCTTGAAAACAAACTTATATCCATGTCAATTCACGTAAGCTTAAGAAACAACCAAAAAACATCGTAAAAGTCCAATTCAGTAATTATTTGAAATCATGATATTTCACGACAAATATAAGAATTCATTGTCATGGCTTCTTGAGAAAGAAAGAAAGAAGGGTGGGACAAATTTCTTCCCTTTTTAGCAATATTTTGTTTAATGTTATCATCACCTAGCCTTTAAATCTTAAGTGGAATTAATAGGAACCAGGTTTCGTATAAATAAAAAATATATATAATCTATTTATATATATTCCACAAGGATTAGGTGCATGCAGGTGCAGCTGTTTTTTCTAATTAAATGGTGTAATTTATTATAAAAATAGTTTTGGTAAGATTTTACACATATGGGATATATAAGTTGCATTTATCATGAATTCAATTTCTCTAGTTTTTTATTGTCAACACAATACAACAATAATTTAAATATCGAAATTATGAAAATGTTCTCTCATAAATTGTGTATAGAAAATATAAACAATAGAAGGAATGAAAAAAAAAAAAAAGTCAACTTAGGATAACAACGCGGGTTTTGAACTTTAAGAATGTTGTTTGGTAATGTAGTTTTGGGTTTTAAGAAGAATAAGTAAACGCGGAAATATTGAGATAGGTATAGTTAATTTTTTTTTCATAAATTAGAACAATTTTTTGATGATTTGAAAAGTAAGTAGATTAATTATCAAATTTAAGGTATTATTTATTTTAAAATTTGATGTTTTCATAGTTTATTTAAAAGATGCTTCATTAAATTTGAAAAATGAATATTTATTCGTTACGGAAAAGAGATTGGTGGAAATGGCGCATGCAGGTGTATAAAAGGAGTCGATTGGGCATGTTGGTTTCTGCAAGTGCGCTCCATATCGATAACCAGCATACATTCCTTTCTTTCTCATTCACCCATTTCAATCACCATCAAGATGCCAACTGACACGTCACCACTTTCCGGCGAAACTGTCTGTGTTACCGGCGCCGGCGGGTTCATAGCCTCTTGGCTTGTGAAACTTCTCTTAGAGAAAGGTTACACTGTAAGAGGAACAGTGCGAAACCCAGGCACGTGTTTATTGCATTGCATGCTAAATAATTAATTAGTTAATTTGTATTTTTTTTTTATTTGTTTGTTTGAATTTAACGTTGGCTTCGTTAGCTGAAATTTATGTTATGTTATGGTCGTGTTGTTGATGAATGATTGTCTCAGAGGATCCGAAGAATGGTCATTTGAAAGAGTTGGAAGGAGCGAGGGAGAGACTAACTCTGCATAAAGTTGATCTCTTCGACATTAACTCCATTAAAGCTGCTTTTCAAGGTTGCCACGGTGTCTTCCACACTGCTTCTCCGATCACCGATAACCCCGTTAGTTTTCTCTTTCTCCTTTCCTTTCTTCCATGGTTTAATAAATTCTCGTGAAAACTGATGAAGGTCGTGAAAACATTTTGTACTAAATTGGTGGTGCACAGGAAGAGATGGTGGAGCCAGCAGTGAATGGAACGAGGAATGTGATAATAGGAGCTGCAGAAGCAAAAGTGCGACGGGTGGTGTTCACTTCGTCAATTGGCACGGTGTATATGGACTCCAACACGAGTAGGGATGTGTTGGTTGATGAATCATTCTGGAGTGATTTGGAGTACTGCAAGAACACCAAGGTCAACTAAGTTCTCTCTCTCTTTCACTCTGTTTTGTTTCCTACCAATTCAATGACTTAAATTGCTTTGTGCATTACGTGTCCTTGTAGGTAGAACTAATAAGACTTAAATTTTCATGGTTGGGTAAAATTTCTTGAATGTGTATTTTAACAATGAAATGGTTGATTTGATTCAGTTACGTATCTTCTTCTTAGTAGATGAGGCCGAGCCTGACTCCGTTGAAGTTTTATTACTCTTATCCATATCCCAAACTTAATAAATATTTAATATATTTACTTCTATATTTATAATTTTATTATCTCGTCCCTCTTTAACTTTATATTATTTATAATTTTGTCCCTCAAATTTAATAATCATTTAATATATTTAAATATATATTTATAATATTATTTGAACACTAACGTCTTCAACTTACTTGATTTGCAGAATTGGTATTGCTATGGGAAGACGGTGGCAGAACAAACAGCATGGGATGTAGCAAAAGAGAGAGGGGTGGAGTTGGTTGTGGTGAACCCAGTTTTGGTTATTGGGCCATTGCTTCAACCTACCATTAATGCTAGTACAATTCACATTCTGAAGTACCTTACTGGCTCTGCTAAGACTTATGTAAATGCCACACAGGCTTACGTACATGTCAAGGATGTGGCATTAGCCCACGTTCTTGTGTATGAGACTCCTTCAGCTTCTGGTCGATACATATGTGCTGAAAGTTCTCTGCATCGTGGTGATCTGGTTGAAATTTTGGCTAAGTTTTTCCCAGAGTACCCTATTCCCACCAAGTAAGAGTTTGTTCTTGTTTTTATTTTACTTTATTTGAAGGAAATGCCTTCACACAAACTCCCAAAAAACGAAATAAAATAAAATAAAAAATGAATGAGTCATCGTTTTCTTAATTGGGTTTCTGACATACTAAAAATGATATCTTTTCTGGAGAGGTAGAATCCACTATACATACTACAAAATGTACAAAGTTGTGGGGACAAATAAGAAAGGTATTGGCCCTTAGCCTAGGTATACCAACTTTGACTTTTTTATGTATTCTTTCTAACCTCCGCGTCTAGTCGAGTCAAGTTGAAAACCAAGCTTCCAAATGATTTGACAGAAAATCATTTTAACCACTTTAACCACCAAGAACAGGTAAATGACCTGCTTTCACATTTTACTTAGAACAAAACATCAAATCATATTCTAGGAATTGGAAACCTACAATCGAACCAATATAATCATTTATAATTGTTAAGTTATTTCAGGTAACAACATTGAAGAAGTTAGATATGGTTATTACTAACTTATTTAAAAGCTATTCTCTGTGAAAGAAGTACTATTGGTTTGATTTTGGTGGAGAGATTGGAACTTAACATAACGTTTGACTTGTGCAGATGTTCAGATGAAAAGAACCCGAGAGTAAAACCCTACATATTTTCAAATCAAAAGCTGAAAAATTTGGGAATGGAATTCACCCCAGTGAAGCAGTGTCTGTATGAGACAGTTAAAAATCTGCAGGACAACGGCCACCTTCCTGTGCCTCCAAAGCAAGAAGACTAATCATAACTAGCTAGGTTGCAATACATTAACAAGTTTAAAGTAGTTCTAAATGAATTTGTATTAAATAATATAAAATCACAAGAAGTACGTATTCTGAGTTTGTAAGACACACTTCACACTAATTGTTGTCTTGTGTAAAAGTAAAATTGATAATATTAATGCATTTGCCACCTTTTATTATTATGTTTCTTTACATCAAGTTATTTCCACCTCACAAGTTCAAGCAACTTTACGCAATTTGTATTTGTAAACAGACATGGACATTGGCATTCAATCAGTTTGAGTTTACTTTGTATTTGGTTGTACTGAAAATGAAAGAAATGAAAACAATATAATAATAATGTAGTGACACCTTTGCCTCATGCATGATCAGTTTTTCTCCAAAATGTTGAAATAAATATACTAACTTGGATACTCAAAGTCCATATTCTCCACAAGTTTCTGTTTTTTCACATTTCGTTTCTTATGAATCTAAAACATGTAATAATAAGATTGGTTACTGCTTATCCCCGTATATGTGGGAAAAGGGTAGTTGGTGGGAAGGTTTTTTTATGGTAGGAAAAGAGGAACTGTTCAACAATGGAACATTGAAGGTGGATGGTTTTTCAACATATGTGAATGCAATCAACTTGTTGATTACTTACTAGCTACATGAAGAAAATAGAGAACCCTATCTCCCTCATATAGTTTATTTATTCCTTGGTCAAGTTGTCGTTGAATCTTGTATATCATATCTGCGGATTCAACTCTTTGAAGATGGCTCTGTGGGTGGAGAATGGGACAGTTTGCATCCTTGAAGTCCCTCTTTCCATGACAAAATTATTAGAACCACGTTATTAGTGTTTGGAATAAAATTAAATAAATAGTTTTAAAATTTGTTGGCATAAAAAGGATAAAAAAAAAATTAAGAGTTAATTGGAACATTTTGATATTAGTAATATTTTGGGTAGTTATTATTTGATTTTGAAAATATTATGGGACTGCATATACATAAAGCACTGTATTCCTCACTTGTATTACAAGAAAAATTAAAATTTGTGACGGACAAAATTTGTTGGTAAATAAATATTACCGACCGATTTGAAAAGTCTATCAGTACGATAAGTAGGTATTTTATTTGAAAATAATACCTTAGAGTTGGAGGTTGATACTTCAAGCACTAAACTACTAGAATTTTCTCGATAATAATTTACAAATAAAATATATTTATATATAAATAAATTTATATCTATGTAAATATATAAATATAAAATATATAACACTACTGCAAGTAAAGACTTTTTATGTCGATTAAAATGGGTTTTCGACGTCGGTTAAAGAGACGACATAGATACAATGATCATAGAAAGTAAGACTTTCTACGTCGGTTATTTTGAATCGTCATACTTTCTATGACCCCTGTATCTATATCGATTAACAGTAACCGTGATTGTATGTGATATCAATGTCGGTTATGTAGATAATCGACATAGAAAGTTAGATTTTCTACGTTGGTTAATGACATAACCGACGTAGAAAGTGTGTGTTTTTTATAAAAGGACCTGCCTTTTCATGACAGTTCATGTCTTTCATCAAATAGACCTACCTATTCATCACAGTTCCAAACAGATATTCACAGTTCCAAATAGTTAATAACACAGCACATATGAAACATACTTTCATTTACTTAAACGAATGTAATAACTTAAATGAATTCAATCAAAATTGTTATAAGTTAAATTTGCTATGAAGATTGAATACTTAAAAGGAAAGAAGTTCACTGCTCTCTAATGTCGTCTAACACTTCAATCTTCAATAGAGAGGAGTATTTGAAATCCTACATAATGAAACATTTCAAATTTAGAAATCATTTACATAATTAGCATATTTGATTTAATTATAGTATATTTACCTCCCTCCATGAGTCAATAATGTTTGTGGATACAATGGTGTGCATGTGCTTCATCACATAATATCCGCACTCATGACTTTCCGGTTGGCATGGGCACTACAAGTTAAATACATGTCAGATTAACTTTAAATGACAAATTGAACAACAGTAAGAGGAATGTGTGGTCACCTTTAGTGCAATATAGTCAACTTCTTTCTAGCATGAGATGGAAGGTCTTGCAACCTGAGGTGAGCTTCCAAAGCTCTACAAAAGGATAGGAATTAATTATAATAGAACCTAATTTTGGTGTAAGTGCACATATGATGCAACAATTAAAAAAACCAAACTTACGCGTCTATATGCTTTCTAATATCCAAATCATTTGGTTTTTGTGTAATGAACACAAGAGAACCATAAGAAATTGTCGAGGAATAATGACTAGGAGTTGCTAATGACCCCTACACGTTGAAATAATATTAGTAAAATTTCAGTTTTACATAAATGTGCATTAATTTATAAGATATATACTTACTTATGCAAGTAAGGTACTAAGTAGACTTCTTTGCCCCCGTTTTGAAATGTCTCTATTAAATACGTTTCCACCTCTTCAACTTTATTCCCAACGAACTGAATGGCAACAGGGTCAATAAATCCATAGATAAAGACAATCTTCCTCTCAACACACAAACGATGTAAATACCTTCAACATTGAAAATAAATAAAGTTACAAAATAATGTACCAGTGATAATATCAAAAATTGAAAATTTACTTACATTTCCCAAAGCTGCAACACTAATACACATAGCATATCAGTACCAATGAGAATATCAAAAATATCCCTTTGGAGTAGGAAAAAAGGGATCATCTTGGTCCTGCCTACGACTTCGGGTGGCATATCTAACTGTTTGGGAGTGGTCCCGATAGTCGTTACTAGTGCACCGAGTCGTTGTAAAGCACTCGGTGGTGGTGGTGATTCATGTGCAACTTCCTTTGCTTTTTCAGCCTCTTTCTATACAAGTACCAAAAATAAATAACATTAGTATACATCAACATATCAAAAAATAATAAGTAAAAGAGATAAATGCATGACACAACCTATGTTTGTGTTGGGATGGGTCTTGTTAAAAAAATTGGCCATAAGATAAAATTTCTAGGTGTCTATCACACTGTTTGAACCTCTTCAGTGGGAATAGGGATTGGGACAACAACATCCCGAACATCTACAACCACCACTCTTATCATATCATCTCAATACTCTGGTGGTGGATGATTGACCCTAATACATACATTTTCCCTAAGGTAAACAAATGATAAAATATTTTAGACAATATAATGCTTAACAGAGTACCAAATACATGTCAAAGATATAATACGTACCGTATGCCACCAAATGCTCAGGAGGACCCGCAACATACAACTTACAGTCAGTAGTGTCAATAGGAGCAACCTCCGCCAAACTCTCCTTTGTGCTGACATGAATCGGGGATGCCTCTTGTGTGAGAACAGAAGATACTTGTTGAATTATTGGCAAACGTACCAAAATTATCAATCGCAGTATAGTATTTCGATTAAATAAAATTCGATCCCACGAGGAACGATTTCAATGGAAATTCCCAATTTTATGCTTACTAAGTAGATTAAAACAGAATGGGTTTTGCATAAAGAGTTAAATTGAAATTAAATGACAAAGAACTGTAAATTGTTGAGAAAATATCAATTAAAGGCGCTTAGGATTGACTTTCTTCCTTATCTCTCTTTTGTAATGGTTATGTCACTTAAGAACATCAATTAACCTAACAATGTTGATATCACCTACTCAAATCATCCATGTTGATTCCTCACACATGAAATTCATAAGAAAACCTAATAAATGTTAATTCCTCACACAATTAAGAGATTTTCCAGCATTAGGTTTAGGGTGTTAAGCAATTGATACATTCATTCCATTCCTGGCAATTAACGTAACAAATATTCTTACCGTGATCTAGGGTTCAAGATATATTTTCCAATCATACCCCAAACATCAAGAATAAATTATTTCAAAGCACAAAGGATAAGAATAACAACGTCAAAACATAGATTAATATCTCAAAATATCAACATGATACAAAAGAGTTCAAAGGAAGTGCACCAAATCCTAAGAGAATGAAGTTAACCACTCATGTTGGTCATTACAATGCTTCAATTGTGGAAGAAGTGAAGAATTGATGAAGATTGGACGAAACCCTAGTAGTAGTCACGCCTCTTCTCCTCCAAAATCGCTTCCTTTCTCAAAACACATATTCTCTTTTTATAAGAAAATTTTGGGCTTCACGTCTTTCGCTCAAGCGACAACTTTCGCTCAAGCGAAAGTTGCCTATTTTTGCTCAAGCGACAAAACGCTCGCTTGAGCGAGTGAACTCCAGAGAAGAATAACTAATATTCGCTCAAACGAATTTTCTTGCGCTTGAGCGACTGAATTCCAGAGAAGAATAACTTATATTCGCTCAAGCAAGAATCCATCCCGCTCAAGCGACTTTCATGCTGAAAATCTTCTTCCTTCTTCCAGTTTTACTCCAATTATGCTGACAATTATGCTCATTACTCTTGTATCAAGGTGTTCTCGAATTCATCCTATATTTGGAGAAAAATAGATTAGAATTGGTATAAGTTGAGTGGTTTCATAACAATTAAAGACATAATTATATCAACTTTTTACCACTTAACATGGACAAAGATGCCAACTCTGCTCGCATTGAGCTCAATAACTCTGCCTTCAAGTCAGAGTACACCTCATCTCGAATCTCCTTCCTAATTTGTTGTTTGAGGGACTCTAACTCCAACTCATTCAGATGCCTCAAAGTTTGAGTTGCCAAGGATGGGGCACCAAAGTACTGTTTGATGTCCACCCCTCGTCCAGCAACACGAACACGTCCGAGATGCTCTGGGGTACCGATGGTCATTGCCAATATGTCCTGACAGCCATGTGGGTGGAATGATCCCTGAGTGCTCTGCTCAACCAACTCATCCTACAACACAAAAGAAGGATTTGTTATCAAATACACATTTCTATTGTAGTATAACATATATAATTAGTTTAGGGTATGCTACTTACAATACGTTGAGCTACAACATAAGTTTGCTTAGATA